GGAAACTGTGACGCGTGACATTAGACTCAACAAGCATATACTGTAGAGGTGGTCCTGACTTAGTTGATCCTGATTTAGTTTCAAATTGGCTATCATAACATGACTATACCTTTTGAATGTGTTCATAATCCCTTAAAAATGTCGCCTCTGTTGGCAGCTCACTGGTTTGGAATGGATCAGGTGAACACATCTATTTGTTTTATTTAGTTTTATTTATGGATTCTGATTAACCTGATTAACCACAATATTTTATGGTGAAAAATGGCCCGGACAACCTAAGGCTACCAAGACTCCATTTCCTGTGTAAACGCAGCAGCTAGAATTGATTTGAAATGACATTACTCTGAGGTGAACCATATTTTGTTTCCTCATGATTTGATAGACAGAGAGATTAAACACCATTGAGCCAAGAGCGGTGATCTCACCTCACAAGCTTGTTTCACATCTGGAGTCTGGTTCTTTGATCAATATGCTTGTGCATCAACTGAAGTATGAACTTTGAAGGTTTTGTGAGGTGATGTGTATATTGAGCTTGAAGGAATGTAGTTCTTCCATGTGAAATCCCAATTTTACAACGCCACTGCCAGGTACCTGGACCAATTCACCTCATTCCCCCCCAATCACCATTCACTTTGATTTTTTTTTTCTTATTCTTATGCTTTTTTTCTTTTTCTTTTTTAAAACGATTTTTTAATTGTTACTGTTTGCCATAAAGGCTGTTTGATCCTAACATTCCATTAAGGTAACAATAGACACATGAATCAATTGAAGTCTGGGCTATAATTTCTGAAAAGTATGTTTGCATGTTATCGGCCTAGAATTGCACACTTAGGCGTGAATGTACCATCAGACGACAATTTTCAAAATTGCCCTATTTTGTAGTTTTGCTCTTGTACATTATGTACACCTGACTGTGTCTTTATCTTGCATGAGGGGTGATGTGACATTTGCTATTTTCCAACATGCTAATCAATTGCACAGCAATTTAGTCTGATTTTTTGGCAGGTAGTTAGAAGGAAAACTCCACCTAATGGTCATATTTCAATGCACAATAAATAATGGGCCTATAATTGGGCATATTCATCATGCATGACAAAGAAGTGACGATATATATATATATATATATATATATATATATATATATGAAGAGTTCAGATGCAAAAGCCTCTGAATGCCATTTGAAATTTTCTTCTTGTATATTTAAGTTCAGTAATTTCACTTAAATAACAATTAATAGGTAATTATCATTGCCATTTAAGTGAAATCACTGAACTTAAATATACAAGCTTGATAAAAATGATCATTCTAGAAGAAACTTAGAGGCTTTTGCATCTGAAATCTTCATATATATATATACAATGCATTAATTATTATTATTACTAGTATTGTTGTTGTTGCTGTTAATACTAGTATTTATACTTCTTTTGTGGTTGACTGAAAATAGCTTGTGTTTGTTTACAGACTAATCTTGCATTCTAGTAATCATTTATCTACAGGAGACTGCATCGAATGCGTAATCAGCGAAAAACCTCTGAGCTTTCCAATGTCTAAAACTTAATGGAGCAGAACGGCCCGCATGCTTCGAGTCACAGCCCCACATCTGGGACCAAGTAACTTATGATAAGAAGAAAGGTGTAGGCTACAGAAGGAGAGGCTGACATTTCCCCTGAATATGATCTCATATGACCTTAGTTATCAAATTCTCAGTCTGCCCTGGTTTAAACTATTGTTCATTCATACACACCTTATTTGGTCTCTGGCCGATGCAGTTGAATGAACTGGAACTGATAGACTTACTGCATAGATTTTTCTGGTTCTGAAGTCACAGGTTTGTCTTTAGGCATGTGAATTACCAGAACTATTGACAGGATTGGTTCAATAGCTACTTTGCATGGATGTGTCAACAATTTGAATGGGACTGAGTAAGAAGAGACGTGCTTTTAAGCACGTTTTGTGGACAAAGTCTGCATGTGAGAAGCAAGATGAAATGTGACTGAATCAATTATTCAACCCCCATTGCAATTCAGGATTATTGGCAGAATTCACAGACCTTCACTTAGCTCGACACAACAAAAAAGTGGTTTCCCCTAATCGAATTCAATTTAAAATGCAATTTTTAATGAGTTCTACAGTCTCAAACTGATTCAATCCCTTCATGGCAAGCATCTTTAGTACTCCCTTTTGTTGTTATGACCTGGCAGCGTTTTTGAGCAATCTTAGCCAATTCCTCATGAGCAGTGGCCTCCAGGTCAGAAATATTCTTGGTTTTGCGTACTGCAACTGCCGCCTTCAATTCCTCCAGAGATTTTCTATGGGGTTCAAGTTAGGTGACTGTGATAGCCACTCTTCTAGGACTTCTTCTGCAGCCAAGCCTTTGTGGAATTAGTGGTATACCTGGGATCATTGTCCTGTTGGAAGGTCCTAAGCTTCAGCTTCCTCACTGACGGCATGATTTTTTTTTTTGTGTGTTTTTTTTTTTAGGATTTCTTTATATTTCAATGAATCCATCTTACCTTCCATATCAACCCGGTCTCATCCCAAATCGTCATATAACTGACGTTTTGGGACGTCTTTTGACCATACGTCAATATTCGCCTTTTTAGGGCCCCCTTAAACGTCGGTAGATGAGGTTATGGGATCCTAACTCTACCCCATACCTAAACTTAACCCTAAACCTAACCCGTCACCTAACTGACGTTAAAGGTAAAGCGTCAGTTGTATGACGGCCCAGGATCGCCATCTACCGACGTTTAAGGGGGCCCTAAAAAGGCGGATATTGACGTATGGTCAAAATACGTCCCAAAACGTCAGTTATATGACTTTTTGGGATGAGACTGTGTTATCCATATGCAGGTTTCCAGTGCCAGAGGATGCAAAGCAGCCAAAGAGCACTCTTCCTTTAGCTTTTAACTTCCAAACTATGCTTCCAATGGTGTCTCTAGGAACATTTAGTGTCTTCACTATCTTTTTGAATCATGTTCCTTGTTTGTGAAGGGCGATGATATCTTTTTTGAACTTTTGGACCATTCTTTTGACTTAGCCATATTTCTATCATGCAGTCAAACATGACACTCAACAAACCCTTTGCCAGTTCAAATATTTCATGTGTTCTAGCGTAAACACACCTGATGCAACTAATGAAGCCCCTGATTAGTTGAATAAGGTGTGCTTGAGACAACACGTTTTGCAGATTTGTGTTGTTGTGAGGGTTTCTATTCAGGGGGTTAAATCATTTTGAGGCTGCAAAAGTCTTTAGAAGTTGAATTTGTGATTAAATCCAGGGAAACCACTTGAGAGATTTGTTGGTTTAAGCTATTTAAATTACTTTTGTTTGATTTGTTCATTGCAAACAACTGAAAGTATGTATACTGTGTGTGTGTGTGTGTGTGTGTGTGCGTGTGTGTGCGTGTGTGTGTGTGTGTATATATATATATATATATATATATATACTGTATATGAAGAGTTCAGATGCAAAAGCCTCTAAGTGACATTTGAAAATATGTATATATATAAATATATATTTATTACATATACACACACACACACACACACACACACACACACACACACACACACACACACGCACGCACAAAGTTGTAATAGAAATGATTCAACCCCCATTGCAAATCAAACTAATGTTTCTTAATTACTTCCTGAACTGGTACATTCAGATAATTGAGAACTTTCTACGTCCACAAATATATATTTTACAATGTGCAATGTTTAATTAACTCCAAATGTTGATGACATGTTTGTTTTTAATAATTTTTAAATTGCATTTAGAATGTCTTTCTTGCAATAAACTATTTGCTATCAGGATTTTAATGCTTCCATAAATTATAAAATGAAGTGCATTTCCTTTGTGAGAGGGTAATAGATGATCTTACACTGACCTGACATGATCTGATAGCTCTGTAAATCAGGGTAATGATAGCCAGTGATTAGCTGTCTGTTCCTGTCTCCGTATCATTACAGAATTTGGCCTTTTGCCTTTTCCTTTTGTTCTGTAGTAAATTAGTTTTTTTTTCCCATTAAAGAGATTTGTGTCATGACTTGATCAGTTCAAAATAACAATGGGGTCTTGATATAAAGGAAATATTTCTTTAAGGATGTATTGAAATTTATGACTTGGACAGAATGTTCAGTTGCCTTGTGCACCGCTTTATTTCCTAATGTGTAATATTTATTTCTTATCACAGATCCATTTCTTTAGGTTATTTAGGGGTACAAACAAGTTAAACTGAGCATGGAGACCACAGGTATTTGACAACTTAGAGAATGTTGCATCTCTGACCTTAAAGGCTGCATGGTGTCATGGAGGTCAGTCAAAGTGTTTAAATACATTTTGTGCTGTGATTGTTTGTTCAGACTGGTCTGATGAATAAGTGCAATATTATGACACAAACATGACATTTGGTGAATATAAGATTTGCATTAAAAATATGAGTAAGTTTAACAAAAAAAAGTATAATAAACTATAATTGGGTGAAAAAAATGTAACACTATGAAGCTTAATATATATATATATATATATATATATATATATATATATAGCTTTATAAATGACATTTTAATAAAAGTGGTTTTAATAAAAAATAAGTGTAGAGAACTTCATGGGTGAAAAAAATGAAACAATATGAAGCTTAGTATATAGCTCTGATATATTAACCACTGTGAGTTCTACTACTCTTTTGCAAAGAATTTTTGTCCCTTCCAATTAATTAATTAATTTTTTCAATTATTTAAGATTTTTTTATTCATTTGATTTTTTCTTTAATTTTGCATTCAAAAAATGAAGTGAAAGTATACAAAAATTAAAATCCATCACATGTTTATTACACATCATACCTTTCATACCATTTTAAAACACTTTGGAAACTGGTTTTGCATCAGCTTGGTTTCTGCCTCTGTTGTGATTGGCTGACTGTTCTGTTGTGAAGGCTGGGGCTGTATAAAAGAAGAGTTGTAGGAGGAGACTGCATTGAGATTGTGAGAATCTGCTTTGTGACGCACTCTTTTTCTGTAGCTTTGGATTTGTATTACACACCAGCACCATGTGTAAAGGGCTTGCGGACCTCCCAGCAACATGCTTAAAAAGGTATGAATATGCTCATTTGCAAATTATAGGTGATATACTTTATTATTTGTTCAATGTTTCAAGACTTTATATATTTTTATACTCTGTATACTCTCAAGTGGACTAATAAGAACTTATGTTGTTTTGATATTTCAATAGTTGTTTTAAGTAATGTAAAAAGGAAAAGGGCTATTATGCTTGTAAATTAAAAGCAGTCATTTGAGAGATATTGAACAGAAAATAAGGTACTTTTAAGTTACTTTTGCTTTCCATAATTTTGTTTTTTACAATAGAGTCTTTTAATGACATATTTTCTTCCACAGCGCCAAAGACATAAAGCATAAGATTGGCTATCTGCTTCAAAAGCCAGATCCACCTCAAGAGCAGAAGGCTTTGAAGGAGAAAGAGAAGGAGAAGGCGAAGGTCACAGTGGTGAACAGGTATGGCTGGAGCGACATGGCCATTATATTATATTATATTATATTATATTATATTATATTATATTATATTATATTATATTATATTATATTATATTATATTGAACATTGTGGTTATTAATTCTTCATCTGGTTGTAGAATCCCTCCAGCTGAAATTGAGAAATGGAAAACTTCATTTAACAACCTGATCAAAAATGATGGTAAGTTTCCATATTATATGGTTATGCAATAATAATAACAAATAAATCCACTCCTGATTAAATCTTAGAAACCAACATGGGTTAATGATGAACAGGCTGCGGGTTACTAATGGCTTAATAAGAAAGCCTGAGACTTCTGCACTGCCCCTTGTTTATTCGGCCTTGTATTTGCTGTCAAAGAGCCCTTGGCCTCATTAATATCTCTGTTAACAGGCCATGACCATATTTTTCTCACGCTCCAGAGCGCGCGTGCTACGTGTCCGCAGACTCCACTGGTGGCCCCTGAAGAGCTGGAGTGTTCTGCTCTGGTGGGCTTCAGGGGTCATCAACCACTAGGGCAGTCCTCAGAGAATCTCCCTCAGACTCAAAGCCTTGACCTTTCATTCCTAAACCTCCTCAGCATCCGCTCCCTCTGAATAATGAGATTAGATGCAGATTTGAATGTCTTCACAATTCTATTCTATTCTATTCCATCATATTCTATTATATCATTTTCTATTCTTATTTAATATTTACTATATCGAGTCTCACTTAAATTCTTTCCTTTCAGATGGTCGGAGGGCTTTTGCTTCCTTTTTACAGTCTGAGTACAGTCAAGAGAACATTGAATTTTGGGTGGCCTGTGAGGATTTCAAGCAGACATCTGTGGACAAGATGAATCTGAAAGCTAAAATGATATTTGAGCGATACATTGATGCCGATTCCCCCAGTGAGGTGAGAGCACTGCTTGACTGCACTTGTTTTATTCACTTATCGCGTGTAAAATGTCCTCATGAATGTCCATTTGTCTTCTTTTTTTTTTTTTAGGTGAATTTGGATTCGGCCACCAGAGAACAGGCTAGGAAGAATCTTGAAAGGTGTGACGCATCGTGTTTTGAAGAGGCTCAGAGTAAGATCTTCACCCTAATGGAAAAAGACTCATACAGGCGCTTCCTGAAATCCAAACTGTTCATGGATCTGTCTCAACCACTGACGCACAACAAACCCTGCAGTTTAGAGAAGAAAGGAAAGCAACACATTTCTGACCACAGTCAGTGCCTGCCTAGTTATGCTTAATCTGACCCTAGATGAACAAAGTCTATGACGAACTTTGCCATAATGTGATTTCCATTCACTTTGGCTTTGTAATGCTTGTTCATGTTTATGAATAAAAAAGGTTGTAAGCCAGAGCCAAACTAAACATCATTAGATGGTTCAGCCATTGTGATCGTAAAACACATTTGCCTTCAAGACCCTTGGGGTGGAACTTGTTACGCTAAAGATATTTCCCACTTTTAGCTTTGCAGCGATGTTGTGACTTCTTGAGAGTACATGGTAATCTTCTTAATGGGTTTTATGCAGGCAGTGCTTTTACTGACAACAAAATAACCCACATGTATTCAACCGTAATATTCCCTGAATTGGCTTTGGGAAAACAATACACGTGTTGTTGTCTACAACTAAGTGACTGTTACAGATGGAAAAAGTCTTGTGCTTAGGATTTTATTTGAGCTACGATGAGAATAGCATCATCAACATCACTAACAATAACCAATTGTATTCTCTTTAACCTTGTAATGTCGTATAATATGAGTATATATGTATGTATATGTGTGAATGCATAAGCTCTCTTAACTTTAAAGGTGATGTAATTTCTTTCTCCTTAAAATGTGAAATTTCCAGCATATTTTTTCTATTGGCCATCCATCATAATCCACAAAATGACAAATGAATGTGATGTGCATGTGCAATGTATTACCTGTCATTGCCAATGATTTACAACGCATTTGGTTGTGAAACTGTGTCTCGGCTGTAAGGCAGACTTTTACATTTCATATCACAAATGCTTCGGTTAGAATAAATGTTCACATGTAAGATGTTTACATATTTGTTACTGGTTCCATATTTATTTATTTTTATCATATTTATGAATAAAATAATATCATAAAATTCAAATGGACTCCGAAATACTTAAAAGTCATACAGACAACTCTAGCATTTTACATTTCGAAACAAATTGCTTTCAAATATTTAATCTCATGATTTTAAACAACAATTTTGAGTATATACTGACTTTTTTTTTGAGAGAGCAAAGATCCATTCATATATCTTCAATAAAAATTGTAATTTAAATATGGTTTCTTAAAAAAATGCAATCACTCTGGATAGAATGTTTTTAGTATTTCCGTCTTTAATTTGGTTGCAATCTACAGTTTCATTACTGAAACATTTCCACCAAATATATTAAAAGTGTCATGTCAATAACCATTATCTCTCAAAACACTTAATAATAACCCTGTATGCAACTTGAGTGTGATGTAATGGAGGATTGCAGTACGTTTGTGGATGTGGATGTTTAGGACATTGAGTGAAAGTGTACAGGAAGTTCAGATCTCAAAAACTATAAGTTCTCTCATGGGCATTTATCAGATATTCCTACAAGAATACTTGAAACGGTCTATTTGACAAAGATTACTTAAGCTGTATTGACACATTCAAAAAGTATTATATTCATAGATATGCCGGAAACAATTTGTTCAATATTTCTCCTTCCTAAAGTACAGATAAAGAATGATTCAAAGACAGAGGTGCAACTTTTCAATTCAATTCACATTTATTTGTATAGCCAGTGCTTTTCTGAATCGTTTCAAAGCAGCTTTACAGAAAACTCTTAAAGAAAAGGTTACCATGACAAAGTCAATGTGACCTCACATGCAAACTATGAGCATTATTATGAGCATTGTTAAGATGTTGATAAAAAAGTTGTGAGAGAACAAACAATGATCTTTTCTTTAATCCATTCACTCTGCCTCATCTCTTGCTGTTTTTAAAACAATGTAGACAGAGATTTTTTTGTAAGAAATCAAAGTCCTCAAAGATGCAGCTGGAGTGGGTTCTTTTTGAGACGACTGCAAGATGGGAACATTTGGTTCTGATCTCTTTTGAAGAGCAAAGCAGAGAAAATCGATTGATGTAAACAAATGATGAGACCTCTTCAAAGATGCGTTACATTCAAAGGAAAGCATAAACACAAATGAAGTGATGAGTGAAATGATTAATATGAAATACTGCTGTAAATCTCACACAGAGCTGCAGCTTACAAAAGGAATGTGTTTTCCAAAGTTTATGATGATTGAAAACACAATTGATTCATTATGCAAATACTCGTAACACAGCATTATTTCTTTGAGAAAAATATACAAATACTTATCGAAAATAACTTTCAAAACACTCTTTATTGTAGCAATACAACCTTTGTTGCTTTTAGTAACTAAACAACGTATATCAGCTGCAAGAATATTGAAAGCATATTTCATAAATGACTATTGTGATTGTACTGTAGCAGGTAATGAGCACAATTTGCACATGCTTCAAAACAAGTCTATTCAATCTCACTCAAGGAAAACAATTTATTTATACAGAGGCATCTTCCAAATTCATCCCTATGCTAAAATTACAGTGTGTCTAGTGGAACTTTTAACCAGACTGGATGCTTTTTTTAATAGTGCAATCCATCTCCAACCTCAAAGTAATTAATTGTATGTTAAAAAACAAAACAAAACGATTCAATCCTTAAAAAAAGGTAACACTTTACTTGAAGGGGTGTGCATAAAGGCCCTTTCACACCGGATGCGTAACGGAAAAGCGAAACGAAAAAGCGAATAGTTCGCGTGAGAATATTTCGCGTCAAAACCATTCACATCAGCCGCGACACGAATTTGCGACGTTCAGAACTTCAACATTCCAAAACATTCGCGCCGATGAAAGCAGACCTGATTTTCATCAGAAAACGTAGGCTACACTTATTATTATAGCCTATAGGTGAATAAATATAGATTTTATGTCTTTTTGAAGTGATGTTAACATGATGCTTTAATAGGCTTAATAAAAAAAAAATCCCAATCTCTAAATAGCACATTTTCAAATAAGCACATAAGTCCATTAGGAAAGATAAAGATGAATGCGTTCTTACCGGATTCGATCAGTGCATTTTGAATTTATATTGTTTGTCTGATGATCTGGCAGCTTCGATTGGACCTTCTTTTTAATTATGTGCATGTTAGTAACTCGCAGTAACTACTGTGGAGCTCACTTTCACCAGTTCACTTTAGGTCCACAGTTGCCTGGTTCCTTGTCCACGCAGCATTCATCAGAGCAAACACTCTCTCCACGAAGAGTTTGTTTGTTTGTGATGGCTCCATTAACGTCTGTGCTGTGCATTTTCTATGTTTTCTTATTACATTATTTTAAATTGTAGAATTGTTATTTAAAGGACGATTAAATAAAAGGATGCAGATAAAAAAAAATGCGGTACAGTGCTATGACTTGCGGGACGTGGCACATAGCTTCTTCATCACTATCATTATCATCCAGTGAAGACAAGCTTTTTATTTTATTTAAAAGCAGAAAAGAAGGTTTGGGGCACCCACTACCGGAGCTAGAAACATATGGCAGAAGGTGAGCTGTCCCATTCATCAGGGGCTACGTTTACATGCAATCAAATAAACACTTTTAGTAAACGTATTGAAGGCTCAAATGGACTGAAAAGCCTTGTAAACACCCGGTTGGGCTCGATACGAACGAACGAGCACAACGTCCCACCAGTCCTTGTTTCAGATATTCATTCACAGACTCGACACACAAGCAATCAGAAGGTCCGTCCGTCATTGCTGCGGTCACGTCACCTTTGTTTCCCTGTATATGATTGGCTGAAGCCTTTTCTTTCGCCTCAAAAATCGACATCGAAGCGAAAAAAATAAAAGTCGTTTTTTCGCCGCAGCAGATTCGCGTTCGGTGTGGAAGCACACATTACACAAACAGCTGATCAAAAAATAAAACCATCGCGCGAATTATTCGCGCGTCAAAATCGCGTTCAGTGTGAAAGGGCCTTAAGACTGACATGACATCTTCATAATGACATGACATATGTCTTGAATGTGAAGTAGGGTTTATGCATGTTTATGATAACTGTCATCAAGTGACTTTTGCTCAATAATGACGTTTTGAATGCAAATATGACATTAAGATGTCTTTGTTAAGACATCTTGAAATAAACCATAACATCATATAACCTGTTAGTGTCTTTGTCATGACAACTTGACATAAAATTAAGTTAAACTGTCATGTGGTTGGATTCGACATTGGCTGTCATAAGGCCATTATAACTGTGTCATGAATATTTTTCGTGACCTCAACTGCAGTGCTACTTATTGAATTTGTCATGAAAAAGTTATAATGGCTTCATGACAGCCAATGTCAAAACAAACCACCTGACAGTTTAATGTAATGTTAACCAATAAAGCTAGGTGGTTTCTTAAGTTTGATAATTAATCTTGCTATGTCATGTTTATGACAGGTTGTGTTGTCTTAATGTCAAGGTGTCATAACAAAGACATCTCTAACAATGTCATATTTGCATTCAAAATGTCATTATTGACCGAAAGACAGTTAATGACAGTCACAAACATGCATAAAACTTCCATATTTATAACATATGTCATGTCATGATTATGAAGGTGTTAGTCTTATGCACACCCTTTCAAGTAAAGTGTAAAGATGTTTTTCTCAATTTTAAAATATACATGTTTACATTTTTTGATTATTGTTTATTATAAAAATGAAAAAGTATTTATAATCATAGAACATCTTTGATCAACTCACCTCAGTCAACCCTTTTGTAATTTAACAGTTAATTACTTTTGTAATAAAATATTAATAACATGTAAATTAATATTGTGCAGTGTTATTTAGGAAAGTGTTGTGTTGGTGCTTGTTTCTATTTGCAGTTTTGGTAAAGCAAAAAAAAAAAAAAAAAAAAAAAAAAAAAAATTCAAAAGGGCCTTTTTACCCCAAGGGGCCTTTAGCCTTTTTGCTTTTTTTCTGTTCAATTAAATTCAGCAAAAGGGAGATGATAAGATATGTCGTCACAATCGCATTTGTTAAAAAAAAAAAAAAAACAACAAAAACAATTGAATCGCTACCTACATAGCTGTTTTACATTCCCCAAATGAAATGTGAGACTTCTCAGCACCCCTCACCTACAGTGACACAACATGTTTTGCCTTTGCCTGCATTTCCAGAGGAGCAAACGAGCGTCTGGTTGAGCAGAGAACAGGTTGTTTTCCTCTGTTCTCTGTTCTCTTTAGTGACAGGATCTTGCTGCAGGACAGAGTCTGCTCATTATGGCTCAGCACAGGGCTTGATGTAATTACACTCTTCTCTGGCGCTTCAGGTGCTGCAGTGCCTGTTTGATCTGTGTTATTGGAGTGGGCAGCTTTTGAAATGGCAGAAAGATACACACAGAACAGCATTGCTCCAACCAAAAAAAGAATAGACCATTATAATCGGCATCTCAAAATCTGTTTAAAAAGGAAC